CCAGCCTCTCTCATAGATCAACCACCGGCCTCTCTCATCCCTAACAGGATGATCTATCTTGGCCAGGAGTGGTGGCTTACACCTGTAATCCTAGCACTCTGAGAGACCGAGGCAGGTGGATCATTTGAGCTCAGGAGTTCAAGACCATCCTGAGTAAGAGTGAGACTCCGGTTTCTACTAAAAAAAATAGAAAGAAATTAGCTGGACAACTAAAAATATATGTATAGAAAAAAAAATTAGCCAGGCATGGTGGCACATGCCTGTAGTCCCAGCTACTTGGGAGGCTGAGGCAGAAGGATTGCTTGAGCTCAGGAGTTTGAGGTTGCTGTGAGCTAGGCTGACTCCACGGCACTCTAGCCCAATCAACAGAGTGAGACTCTGTCTCAAAAAAAAAAATTAAAAAAAAATACAGCTAAAATCTTAAAAACTGACAATACTTAAGTGTTGCCAAGAATATAGAGCAAGTGGAGAATTCATACATTGCTGGTGGGAAGGAACAATGGTACAGTTACTTTGAAAAATAGTTTGGTGGTTTCTACTGAATTAATCACACACTTATATGACCCAGAAGTCCCACTCTTAGATGTTTTTCCAAGAGGAATGAAAACATATCCAGGCCAGGCGTGGTGGCTCACGCCTGTAATCCTAGCACTCTGGGGGGCCGAGGCGGGTGGATCGTTTGAGCTCAGGAGTTCGAGACCAGCCTGAGCAAGAGCAAGACCCAGTGTCTAGTATAAATAGAAAGAAATTAATTGGCCAACTAAAAATATATAGAAAAAATTAGCCGGGCATGGTGGCGCATGTCTGTAGTCCCAGCTACTCGAGAGGCCGAGGCAGGAAGATCGCTTGAGCCCAGGAGTTTGAGGTTGCGGTGAGCTAGGCTGATGCCACGGCACTCTAGCCAGGGCAACAAGAGTGAGACTCTGTCTCCCGAAAAAAATAAATAAATAAATAAAAAAGAAAACATATGTCCACACAAACACTTGTACACAAATACTCATAATGCCTATGTTCATAATAGTCAAATATTGAAAACACCCCGGTGTATGAATACAGCAATAGGTGAATAGATAAACTGTGGTACACAGATACAGTGAACACTCCTGTGCAACAGAAAGAAGAAACCACTGACACAGGCAACAACACGGAAGCTTCTCAAAGTCTTTAGGCCAAGTGACAGGAGCCGGATATGAGCAAGTGCATATTGTATTCCATTTATAATACGTAAATCCTCAAAACACGGTTTCTTAGGTAAAGGCAAACACAGAGGGATAGAAATCAGATCAGCGGATGCCAAGGGCCAGAGGCAGGGAGCAGCAAAGGGCACAGGGAAACTTTCTGGATGCTGGAAATGTCCTTTGTCTTGACTGTGGTGGTGTTGCTGGCTCCACGCGTGAAAATCGGTGGATTTTACTTTACGTCACCTCTACCTCGATAAATCTAATTTTAAAAATCCAGTGCGCGGGAGACTTGCGGGGTCTAAGAGTGGCGTTGGTAGTAAAGTGAACATAGTGCATTGGCCGCATTGGAAGGCGGGACCTCTGGAGGCTGTTGGGGGGAAAGGGACGTGCGATTGTCGCCCACGGACCGGATGTGCGCCAGGGGGCGCGCGAACCGGCATCCGGCAGGTCAAAAACCTGCCCGCGAGCGCCACCTGGAGGGAGGGCGAGGCCTCCGCAGCAAGAAGCCGAAGCCGGGGCTGCCAGCGAGCCTAGGAGGAGGCGAGAGCTGCACCGACTGCAGGGTGGGTGAGAGACCCCAATCGTGGTGTGGGCTGGAGGGGCTTGCAAGGGCTTACAAAAGTGCACCACTAGACAAAGAGTTGGCTACATGCGCGTGCAAAGCCCAAGAAGCTTCTGTGACAGCTCGCACACAGTGCTGGTCAAGATGAGACCTTTCCTGCCCCTTGCCTGGGGGGGCCAAAAGCAGCCCAGGGAGAAGGAGGAGAAGGGCGAGGAGGGAAAGAGAGAGGGGGGAGGGGGGGAGGACCCCAGGGTATATGAGCAGGTGGGAGGAGGGGAAATTGAAAAAGTAATTAGATTCTCTCTCTCTCTCTCTCTCTCTCTCTCTCTCTCACACACACACACACACACACACACACACACACACACACACACACACACACACACACACCTTTTCCTGTTGCAGGCTGCTTGCCCAGAACAGACCAAGTAGGTGGAAGGAAGAAGTTTTTAACTTTAAATAAACTTTATAAGTTTTTGGATGGGGGTGTTGTGGGGTTAGATTGGGTTGGATTTGGTTTGAGTTTTCGTTGGTTTGTTTTTTGCATTGTTGCATTGTGGTACAATATACATAACACGAAATCTACCATTTCAGCCATTTCAGCGGCACCAGATGTGCTCACGCAGTTGCGCACACATCTGCAGAAGCTTCTCATCGCCCCCTACGGAACCCCACACACACTAAATAATACCTCCCGCTCACCCCTCCCTTCAGCCCCTTGCAGCCACTAGTCTACCTTCCATCTCCAGGAACGTGGCCGCGCTTTTTTAAAATTGCAATTACTGAAATGAGACTTTTATCATTTGAAGGGACCCAGGAAATTTGTACCAACAAAGAGTGTCCAGAAAAGGCATGAGCCTGCCCTGTATTCAATGCAAAAGGGTCCCCACAGAACAAATTCGAATGGAGAATGGGAAATCAAAATAAAGTTGCCTGAAGATGGCAGCCTGTGGGTCCTATTTGTTCAATCTCACAGCTACCCCAAATAAGGGGTTTATTTTACCCATGTGACAAGAAATCTCAAAAAAGGTATAGAGTTGCAGCTGACACAACGGCTGAGAGGTCATCAAAGCCCAGGGTCCCTGCAGCTTCCTGCCACACCAACCTTGACACAGCCCCACCGTCCCCCAGGCCAAGGTACAGAGTCTGAGCTGGGGGCAGGAAGAAAGGGAAACAGCAAAGGCTTTGGGGAGCATTGGGGAAATGATTGCTCCAGTCATTTCCTATGTTCTGTGGGTCAGAAGAGTGACTTGGTGACAAAACCTGCTCTACAGGATCAATAAGTGAGAAGCATGGCAATGTCGCTTGCTAGGGCCAGAATGGTCAATGATTCTCACCTCCAATACTGAAGTCACACATGCGTATTAGAAGACCCAGGACAGTTACCTACCTGGCTGAGCGTAGGCCACATGTTTGCATACCAGCAGCGTGGGCGGAGGCTGGATCTGCTCCCTGGCAACTGTAATGGGAGGCAGAGGAGGGAGGCACTGGGTATATTCACCTCTATCATGTAACTGAGCCAAAGATGACCCTGTATGTTGGCCCCTATATTGTTTACTTCTTCACAACGGGACAGCTAGCTCAAAAACCCACAGGAGCCAAACTCAGATTTTTACACATCCAATTGCTTCCAATTAAATAGTCCAGGTAAGCATATTTTTTTAGTCACTTAGAGCCTGCCTGCTTTGCATACCCTGCCAAACTGTACCCGACATCTGCTGGCCAGAGATAGGACAAACCCCGGCACTGTAGCCCAAGCCCAAGCCCAAGCCACTGCTGCCCTTGGTGGTTCTTTGACCCAGAGACACCCTTCTCATCTAGACATGTAAATCCCCTCTCCCCGGGGAGTTCCCCTGCCTTCTTCCGTTTCTGGTGGTGGCCCTAGAAGGGCTCCTGCTGTGAGGGACGTCCCCTCACAGCAACCTGTTGAAGTGCCACCCAGCTAAAGCCCATCACGCGCTACTGCCATCTTGTGGTCATTTTCCCTTTGATGAACTCAGCCCAACTTCTCACCAGGACACAATAGGAAAGGACTAATCCCCCGCCGGAAAATCCGAATGCTGTTAGGGAAGAGAACAGACTGCAGGCAGCCGAAATCCTGACAAATGTCCCCTACCGTGGGTGATGTCTAAGTCGAGACTCTCAGGAAAAAGGAAAGGCCGGAGCTCAAAGGCAATTGAAACACTTTTGACAAGAGATAGAAGCAGTGAATAAAAAATAGGAAAGAGACACCAAAAGTGCTTCATGATTCATCCCTTCTGCTTTGGAAGTATTAGGAAAAGAAATTGGCAAAGCACCTACCTCTTACTGGAATGCAATTGAACCTACCTCTTACTGGAATGCAATTGAACTTCCTCCGTTAGACTAGGTCTTCCTCCTTAAGTCTGGGTCTAAGACACACTCTCCCTGGAAGCCAACAGGGTTAAGGAAGCACAGATGTCCTCCTTGCCCTCTTTAGGGTTTCAGAGACTTGGAGCCAGTGTCCGATGTGCTATGGTGCTACCCTACCTCCCTGCGCCCACTTCAAGCTGCATGTGACGTCTGCTACCCTTCCTCCAGGGACTCCTGCAAGTATGTGCATCAGTCAGGTTTATTAATTGCAAGCAAAGGACACACTTCGACCCGAATTAAATAGAAAATGAATTATGAAAATTCTGGTCACAGAAAGTGGATGAGTAAGGGGAGCTTTTGGAGAACCAGCTCAGAGACTATGCTACCAGGACCAATGCTCAAAATCACACTGCAGAAATATCTGGTGAAGGCACCACTTGTCCTTACCCACTCTGAGCGCCACCTGCCACAACTTGCAGCCCTGATACTGAACACTAGATGCTGTGTCGCCACGACTCTGGGGCAAGATTGTGAAGGTGCACTGCTGTCCCTACCAGGTAAAAACAAATGACTTCTGGATTCTCTGGTTATTGGGATAGAGAACAAAGCATTTTCAAGGAGCTGTGTTGATTTTCCTCAATAGATAAACACCTGGAACAGCAGCTGCAATTTGAGTTACCTCTTTTTATTAATACAATTAATACTTGTTATTTTCCAAGGCCCCTCTTTTTTTTCTGCATTATACGAATTACTAAATTAAGTTGAAGTACGATAGGAATCAGTACCTCTTCATCTTTCAAGTCCTGGTGGTAGCATTAACCCTTGCCATTCCTCCAAGAATGCAGCATTGCTTTTGGTTTACTATTCCACCTATAGAGGAAACATTCAGGCTTCCTCTTGGCTCTCAGTGTGATAAAGGCTCTTACTCCGTGAGCCTGAGAAACAGTGTGAAGATTGTGATCATTGCCCAGTATGTTTACGCCAACTGCACACTCAGTGTGGAAATTGCTACAGGATGAGGTAAGAATTCCACTGAACCTACCATGAAGGAGTGTAGGTCAAATTCCCCTTTATCAAAGAACCACCAAAGTCCCATTCTAGCTAATGGGCCACAGTGGCATTCAGAAATTATTAACTCAGAGCCAGCATCCAATAATGCCTGAGAGATGTGGGTATTTCTCTGTCCCGAGTGCACTGTTACCTTAGCAAATGGCATATCCTCATTCTAATACCACCTCCCCTGTCTATTGTGTTCCTGACTTGCTCAAAAATCCTGTCTAATGGTTTCTACAATTGGAATCATCTGGAATTTTTTTTTTAATATTGTACCAATGGCCAGGCACAGTGGCTCATGCCTATAATCCCCAGCACTTTGGGTGGCCAAGGCAGGAGGATCGCTTGATGCCAGGAATTCAAGACCAGCCTGGACAACAGACCCCATCTCTACAAAAAATTTTTTAGAAATTAGCCAGGTGTGGTGGTGTGCACCTATAGTCCCAGCTATTCAGTGGGTTGAGGCAGGAGGATGGCTTGAGTCCAGGAGTTCAAGACTGCAGTGAGCTATGATGACGCCACTGCACTCCAGCCTGGGTGACAGCCAGATCCTGTCTCTTAAATAAAATTTTAAAAAAATGTGAAAAAACAAAAACAAAAACAAAAAACTGTACTGACATTCTGGTCCTATCACACAGAAAGAGATACCTTGCAAGGAAAAGCCAATTCTTCTACCCCCACCCCACTTCATTGTGTACATTCTGTAATTAAAGGTAAATCCCAGCCAATTAAAAGTCAGCCTGAGGAAAGGCTTCCACACAAGTATGTACACACACACACACACACACACTCACACACACACGCATGCATGGAAACTCAAAGCCAAAGAGATGATGAGCTAGAAAGTCCTTTCTGGAGCTTGGGGGATTGTAGGAATACTAACTGCTGGGCCAGTACCCTTCCTCGTCTCTGCTTGGAAAAGCAGCAACCAACCTGGTGGCTTCCCGGGCTCCTCACTGTCCTCCCCTCAGACGAGGTATTCAGTGAATGTCTGTGAATCGCATCTGTGACAATATCATGATTAGCAACAATTCCCAAGCCCGACTACCCCTAAGAATCATCTGGGGAGCTTTACAAAATATCCTAATGACTAGGGCTCACTGCCTGAGATACTGATTCAACTGGTGTGAGACCGGGGGAGAGAGATGGGCCAGAATGTGGGTATTTTTTTAAAAATTTCTACAGGTGATTCCAGTTTTAGAAACCACTGGACTGGGGGGCTCGATAAGGCAGAGGTTCTCAACCTTGCCTGCACATCAAAAACACCTGGGAAGCTTTAAAAACTGGTGATTCTCCAACCCGGAGATTCCTATTTAGTTGTTGAACTGGTCTGCCTAGGTGTTAGGATTTTTTGAAGCTCGCCAGGGGATTCTGATGTGTAGCTAAGGTTGAGAACCATTAGGATAAGAGAATGAATGAATGAGGAAATGAAGAAATGAATGAAATCTACAGTCTTCCACTTCAGAGCTAGAGTCACCTGTGAGTGTGCATGTGTGTGTAGTGGCAGGGCTGTGTCTACCCGTAATCCTCACTGGGGAGACTGAGGCTGGTAGAGCAGAAGGGAAGGGACTCAGGTTTCGGAGGCTCTGCTCTGCGCTAACCACTGGCCTAGGTGCTTTAAATGTATTCTCTTGCTTAATCCTCACAGCAAGCCTGGGAGGCTAGGTAGTGGTACCCCCATTTTACAGACGTGGAGTCAGGGTTACATGTGTTGCCTGCAGTCACATGGTGGGTCAGTAGCAGACACTGGGCTGGACCCAGGGCTCCTGAAGCCAGTGGCAACCCCCACCCCCAGCCCCCAAATGACTGGCTCCATCTGCCCCTGGAGCTGCTTTGGCCTGAGCACCATTCACCCCCAGGGCCCGTCTGGCATCTAATTGGATCTTAGCTAACCAGCATGTCTGGGTTACATGGGGATGGGGGTTAGCACTGTTCAGGCCCAAAGCTGCAGGAATGAGAAAGACCACTCAGGGAAAGGTCCCAGGGACCCAACCAGTGCAGGTCTTGGTCCCAAAGAGCTCGCCAGGGCATAGCTCTATGATCAGGGGAATGTTGGCTGGGCAGGGCAGGGCAGGTGCTGAGAATCTGTCTGCTGGACACAGGGAGTGAGTGCCAGGAATCCAGAGGCCAGGCTGAGGATGGGGCAGCAGACACCTAAGGTCTCCAGATGGCATTCTTAGGAGGGAAGAGCCGACCTTCACGCTGAGATTCTAAGCTTCGTACTTGGTGTTATCAGTAAGCAAAATCAAATTACTTTATGGGCCGGGCGTGGTGGCTCACGCCTGTAATCCTAGCTCTCTGGGAGGCCGAGGCGGGCGGATTGCTCGAGGTCGGGAGTTCGAAACCAGCCTGAGTAAGAGCGAGACCCCGTCTCTACTATAAATAGAAAGAAACTAATTGGCCAACTTATATAGAAAAAAATTAGCCGGGCATGGTGGCTCATGCCTGTAGTCCCAGCTACTTGGGAGGCTGAGACAGAAGGATCGCTTGAGCCCAGGAGTTTGAGGTTGCTGTGAGCTAGGCTGACGCCACGGCACTCACTCTAGCCTAGGCAACAAAGCAAGACTCTGTCTCAAAAAAAAAAAAAAAAATTACTTTATGGAATGAGAGCAGATGGTAATTGTGATCCCCCCTCACCCTTGGCAAAATAAGGAGGTGGCAACCCTATGCCACTCTCTCCATTGGGTTGCTTTGTTTCTTTTTTATCGGTCCAAGAAATCCAAAAACCTTATTTCTATCCCTAGGGGTTTGGAGACAGAAACCGACTTGTAGCAGGCTCAGGGAATGAACAGGAGGCAAGGACGCAGAGACAGCGTGTGGACACGCCTTTTTGTAGACTGGTGCTGTTCAGAGTGTGGTTCCAGGATCATGGCATCAGCATCACCTGGGAGTTAGGAAAGCAAATTCCTGGTCCCCACCCCAGACCTCGGGTCAGAATCTCCGGGAGGAGAGCCCAGCGGCCTCATTTAACAAGCTCCCTGGGTGATTCTGATGCACACCAAAGCTAAAGAAGCCCCGTCCTTGCTGGAGAAGAGGCCAGGAGAAAGGGAAGCGGCTGGAGAACAACACAGGATTAAAGGATGATTTTTGTTTTAATGCAAAAAAAAAAAATAATTGAGCGCGTTTTTTAAAAACTTTTTTATTGAAATACAATATGCACACAGAAAAGTGCACCCATCACGAATGTACGGCTTGGTACATTTTCACAATCAGCACCCCACGTAACCCACACCCAGATGAAGAAATAACATTACCAGGATCCCAGAAGCCTTCCAGTCACCGTCTGACTTCTCGGCAGGGACTGACTGGCTTTGCCTGTTTTTGCGCTTTATATAAATGAGAGCAGATAGCACGTGCTCTTTCGGGCCTGGCTTCTCTCACTCATGCTCGTGCTTGTAAGATCCATGGATTTCACTGCACGTGATTGTGGCTCGCTCACTATCATTGCTGCCGAGTAGCCCACTGTGTGACTTACATCACTCATTCTACTGATAATGGGGGTCTGGGTAGTCTTCCATCCTGGGGCGCTTACAGACGGCGCTGTTTTGCTGCGGAACAGACAGATCCTGGCGGGATGAGGGAACTAGGGGGACTCCGTTTCCGGGCTGTGGCTCCCCGCGGAGGCCTGTGGCGCCACCTGCTGGACAAGAGTCGCACAACATGCCCAGGGAGTTGCCTCCGCCAGCCACCCAAGTTGTTCCCGGGAGAAACCCAGACCTCAGAGAAGCCTCCGGTTGAGCCTTGACCCCAGCCGGAGACCAGACACCCCCACACCAGGACCTAGTCACATGCTGAGCCCTGACACAGGCCACCGTGTAGCCGTGGCTCTAATTCAAGCCCACAGTCCCTAGACTAGAGTCCTGCTCAGGCCAGAGAGCCACGGGCTGCATCCCCCAAGGGGAGGGGCCCGGCAGGTGACCTGAACCCCAAGAACTGCGACCTTGGGGCCGCACTCCTCCTTGACCTCACTGAGCTGTGGCCCCTGACAGGCAGCCACGCCACGGGAAGCCTGTGTGAGAGCCCCTCGGGCCTTGTGTCCTAATGGGGCCGGCTCACGCACAGTCTCCTTGGCCCCGTGCCCTGCCCAGACCTGTTCTAGATTCCACCACCACCCTTCCCCAACGCCACTGCCGCCTCCTACCCGCCCAGCCCTGGTAGGGCCTCTGAGACGCAGCCGGGAGGGCTGGCAGGCAGGAGGGCCGGGCGGGCACCGGGGCCATGGACCCCGCAGCAGGGCCTGTGCTCTATCAGAAGCTGCTGCTCTGGGAGCCGAGCTTGGAGTCCGGGGAGGAGGAAGACGAGGGGGAGACATTGGAGCCGCTGGTTCCTGACCCCTGGAGGCCCCAGGACTCCTCTGGGTGAGTCAGGGAGTGGTCTGGGCACCCGGTCTCTCAGGCTTGAGGCTGGCAAGACCCTCTCTCTGGAGCCCCTAAGGACAGACAGGCAAGTCTGTGCCTGGCTCAGCTCCAGGAACTCTCTGGTTGAGTGAGAGGACACCTAGGCTACAGCGTCAGACCTGGCCGAGCAGCCAGTCAGAGGGCTGTGGGTCTGAAGGGACATTTGTACCAAACCATCCCCTGTCCTGTCTGCTGCCATGTCAAAGGTCCCGTCCCCAGCCACCAGCCCCCGGTGCAGGAGGCACCTGCTAGGCAGGTGGGGACCTGGCTACCCCTGGCTGGGCCCAGCTCCCAGCCCTTTCTCCCTGCCTGCCAAGCCCCTGTCAGGCCTCCCGCCCCCCTGCTGGACTCTTCCTCTCCAGCCCCCTCTCCAGAGATGCCCTGCCCTGGCTACCTGCAGTTGCCCCAAGCTCTTTCCCACCTCCATGTCTTCACCCATGCTGTGCCCTGTTCTCCTTGGCAAATGAGTACTCCTCTTATAAAATCAAACCATTTTGGGAAACATTCCCTGGGTTCTCTCGGGGGTCTGTCCTAACCCTGGCTCAGAACCCCCCTCTCTGCAGGAACAAGGCCGGTGGGCTGCCCACAGCCTGGGCCGGACTCGCGGCAGCCCTGCTGCTGCTGGCCGTTGGCTGCTCCCTGGCTGTGTGGCAGATCCAGACTAATGGTGGCTGGACAGGAAGCTTGGGCCCTGTGGCCCCTCCACCCAGAGGACACACGCACCCCCCAGGTGTATACCACCACGGCGCTATCATCAGCCCTGCAGGTCAGTACTGGGGGCAGCTCAGGGGAGGGGGGTCAGGGGTCACTGCTCCCAGGCCCCTCCTCATGACAGTCCCTTCCTTGCTGCAGCCACGTGCTCCCACCTGGGCCGAGAGCTGCTTGTTGCTGGGGGCAATGTCGTGGACGCAGGAGTTGGAGCTGCTTTGTGCCTGGCGGTGGTGCATCCTCATGCCACAGGGCTAGGTCAGTGACCCATGACCCCAGACAGTGACCCCAACCAAGGTCCTGCTCAGAGACCTCAAGGCTGGACCAAGGATTAAACAATGGCCCCAACCGTAGGCTGTGATCCTTGAGCCCAGGCCTGGTCAGTAACTCCTGAGCCCAGGCTCCTTCAGTAACATTGACCTCCAACAAGTCCATGACACTTCCTCTGAGGCTGCTGAGTGACCCTGACCCCAGTCCTGGCCAGTACACCTGACCCCTGTGTGACCCCTTTGTCTTCCTGCAGGTGCCATGTTCTGGGGCCTCTTCCACAACAGCTCCTCAGGCAATGCAACTGCCCTAATGCCAGGCCCAGTACAGACCCTGGTCCCCGGCCTGGCGCTGCCTGCAGCTCTACCTACCCTGCACTTGCTGCATGCACGCTTCGGCCGCCTGCCCTGGCAACACCTGCTGGTGGGCCCCGCCACGCTGGCTCAAAAGGGCTTCCTGGTAGACGCGCCCCTGGCAAGGGCTCTGGCAGCTCGGGGCACAGATGGCCTCTGTCCACTGCTTTGCCACGCCGATGGGACACCCCTGGGCCCTGGGGCCCGAGCTACCAACCCCAAACTGGCAGCTGTGCTACACAGGGCAGCACTGGCCCCCACTGCAGACCTTGCCGGGGATGCCCTACTGAGTCTGCTGGCCAGAGACCCGGGGGTGGAGGCACCCTCTGCTGGGCCCAGGCCTACCTTGGAGCCAGCACTGCAGCTACCTATGCCCCAGGGCATCCTGTTCACCACCCCTGGCCCCTCTGCTGGCCCAGAACTGCTGGCACAGCTGGAGGCAGCTTTACCCTCTGGGGCGCCCAACCCTGAACCCTGCCCCCCACTCCCGCAAACTGCTGTGACCCCTGCCAGCAGCATTCTGGCCACCGTGGACAGCAGCGGCTCTGTGCTCCTTCTCACCTCCTCCCTCAACAGCTCCTTTGGCTCTGGACACCTGTCTCCAAACACTGGGGTTCTGCTGAGCAACCTGGTGGCCAGGTCTGCAACTAGCACCTGGGCCTGCCCCCTCATCCTCCACAGTAGCCCAGATGACACTGAGGCCGATGTGTTGGGGCTGGTGGCTTCAGGAACCCCTGATGTGGCCAGAGCCATGACTCAGGCCTTACTCAGCCATCTGGCAGGGCCCCAAACCCAGGCCCAGCACCAGCACCAGGCTCAGGAAGGACAAATGGAGAGTGCCAGTGCTTGTGGCCAAGGGACCCTGCTCCAGGTGGCAGCCCATGCAGAGCATGCCCATGTCTCCAGTGTCCCCAGTGACTGCTGCCCCTTACAGGGGTTCTAACAGGGAGAGCGGGGCCTGGCAGGGAGTATAGTTGTCTCAAGCCTAAGGGCAGGAGTGGACCAGACCTAGCAACAATGGTGTGCATGAAGAGTGTGCATCTATTATGCACTCACTGCGGGCCCCAACCTTGGGCCTGGTCAGTTACCAGGACTTGAGTTCTGGCATCCAGGACTAGCTCAATCATTCTTCAAATCACCCCCACTGGATGGAATCTCTGGCTCTTTTACCAGCTGAGAAAATTGAGGATAATGAGCAAAGAGCAACAGGTCCTGTGGCTAGTTAGCCCTGAGTCCATAACCAGCTCTGGGAAGGACAGATGGAAGAATGCTGAGCCCCTCCCTAGGCTCTGGGCCCCATGGGGCAGGGCAAGCAGAGCCCAGGGTACTGCTGGCATCTCCGTCCTCTCCCCGGGCCACCCCCTGCTGATCTCCCTCAACTGGGCTGGACACAAAATAAAGATCAAGTCTCCTGGTGGCCAGGTGCCATTCCTGCTTCTTGGTAAATTTCCCATCAGCCTTTGAGGCACCTAGTGTCAGGGCTTCCCCAATGGGCAGCAGAGGTGACCAACACCCAGACAGGGGAGAGCCTGGGCTGGTGTCCTTCAGCTTCCCCTGCTCCACTCACCTTAGAAAAAGGGTTGAGTGGGTGAGTAGAAGGTGCCCCCGCAGCTTGGGTACAAAAAGACTGGAGCTGGATGTGTGGAATCTGAAGGCTTAGGTTGGCCCTGACCTCCCCGCTATGGCTGGGGTCTCCCTGGACCACAACCCTCTAAGAGAAACAGCTTCTCAACCAAGAAACAGGGGTGGCCAGCAGCACTTCCCCTCCCCCACCATTGTAAAAGGCTTCTCTGATTTAATAAAACTCTCGATCCCACCACATCTACCTCCCCCTCCAAAGAAAATTCTTCCCCAGCTCAGTCATGTCACCACAATGTACCCAGTTCTTTTAGCCTCAAACCTGGCATCCCCCTCTTTTATACCCCTCCAATATCCGATCCATCACCCACCCCACCAGCTCCAAATCGGTGTAAATAGGACCTGTCCTCATTTTGCCTTGGCCCAATCCACCATTGTCTTTAACCGGTCTTCCGCTTCCACCAGCAGACACCTGCAATCCATCCCCCACACAGCAGCCAGCATGATTTTTTTAAAACCCTCAAATGACTTCCTATCACTCTCGGAATGAAATCCACACTTCCCATCCTGGCCTGGGGTCCTGCACAACCTTGCTTCTCTGACCCTCCTCCTCAACCTCATCCCCTCCAGCCGTGGAGCCTCCCAGGTGCAATGCCTGGGATCTTGTCCTTCTTTAGATCTTTGCAGGCGAGGGAAGAGTCCTTGTCACTCAGCTCTCAGCCCAAATGTCACATCCTCATAGAGGCCTTCCCTGACCACCTCCTGAAATCAGTTTTGGTAGAACCGATTGGATTTTATTTTTAATTAG